CAGCAACAACAAAAACCTTTTTCCCTAAAGAAGAGTCTCACAATAATGTCTACATAATAAGAAAAATAGCCAATCTTTCTGAAAGAGAAGATCCAGCTGCTAAATTTGAATTAAGTCACTTTACAAATACAACAGTTTTCATTCCAGATATGGGTAAAATCCTGCCTTCAGTGACTGAATCCAATCCTCTCTCCAGTAGTGCCACCAACATAGATGAGGAATCCCATATTTCAGAAGCAGGAATCTTGTTTTCAGGAGATAGAATTAAACTGAAAGATGATTTTTTCACCATCAATCTTGATGACACTCCTTTCAAATCTCAAGCACCTTCTAATTTAAAAGAAATCTCTTCAGGTGATTCCACATCAACTCTTTCAGAAGTATCCAAGAATAATAATCAAAGCTTTCCCTCTCGTGATTACATCACAAATACAGCAGGGTCCATCTCAAGCTCTCCAACTGGATCATATGGCCTACAGCCAACTCATCCTTCTGATTTCAAAACACTCATGGACATTCCCAAATATTCTGAACTTGTTCTTGTTACCACCATGAGAAAACATAACACAAAAAAGACTGACGATAACATTGCAGATGAGAAAACAATTATTCCAAAAGTTATTGTTTTACCCATAACCATTATATCTGAAAAAGAAATGACAGGAATTTTTAAAGGTAACATATTTGAACACAAAGATTTTACAAAGAGAAAGACAGCTGATGATTATGAAATAATTTATCTTACAGAAGATATTTCAGAAATGATGAATGGCGTTTCTTCTGAAAGCAAAATTGCTCAAGAAAATGTGGACCATATTAAGAGAATGTCTAAAGACAGTGATTCTAAACATGTCTCAAATAACTATGTCTTTGAATTAGATGATAAGGCAAATAATTCTTTTATGAAAGTGGGTACACTCAGATATGTTCCTAAGACACATCAGTCTGATGTACAATATACCATAGTTGCTGCTTCAGACAGTCTATCTAAAATAACACCTACAGAGTTCAAGTCCAAAGAAAATTACCAAGCTGTGGCTCCCAAACAGAAAAATAAGATCTTCACCCTTGATAACATTCTTTTCAAAAATTTCAATACTGATGTCAATACCAAAGCTCATAGGCCTATAACTCGCTTGCTAATCAGTACAAATGAGAATTTTCCTTCTAGTCTTTCTGACAAAATATCAATGGTAAATGATACCATAAGTGGTAATAATGACACCATAATTCTGTCTGAAAGCTCTGACTTAGGAAATAAAATAACTGAATATTCTATTTTCCCAGACACAAATTCCATAGTGGCCCATAGAACATTAACAACTGATACTACTAATCATGCTATCAAAAATAGTTATAAGTCAATCGGGGAAAACATGTCACCTAAAATTTATAAGAAATTTACACCCAGGGAAGCAGAAGCCACCATATCCAGTATATCTGATTTTGCTGAAGATGAAATAGATATAGATATAACATCTGGTTCAAGTTTTAGTAAGTTTCCTTTAGCTCAGCTTTCTAGTGATTATATGTCTATTATAGATGAAAACACAGAAAGTACAATCAGCAAAGCTCTTAATTCCTTTTAGTCTTCAAGAACAATGCCTGACATTATACCAAAAGCTCCTGCTACTTCCAGTAGAAACAAAAATAACATTGACCAATCCCACCTTCCATCAGAAAGTGTCACATCTCTAAGACTTACATCTATGGGACTGCCTGAAATTCTCATCTTAACTGGTAATGCTCCTACTAAAAAATCCATGGACCCTAGTCTTACAAAAGTCGAAAACTTCTATGACCCAAACATACTAACATCAGTGGCATCAGAACCTATGACAATAGAGTCAGCTTACATCAATAAAGGCATTATCTCAGAAGGGCAAAATATTAAAAATCAAAAGTTTCCAAAGGCTCTCCCCTTGGTCTATACTGTTCTCCAAGATAATTCCACTGGCTCTTCAGACAGCACCACAGATTTTGAACCTAACAAATCAGCTACTATTGTCACCAGGGACACATTTTTTGATATTTATGCCTCTCATGATCAAAATTCAGAACCCAAGAAAATAATCACCAAATTTTCTACTCCTTTGCCTAATAAAGATAGTGAACCAAGTATCTATTAAACAAGAGAAATACTTGAAGCTTCTGCAGTGAAAGATGAAGCTGCTGAATTTGAAGCGATTACCTTGCAGATGTAAATATAATAATGGTCCAGTTATCCATACAGAAATGAACTCTTTGCAAGATGCTGACTTAAACCTTTACCATATGAATAAAAATTGTATTGCTGATGGTCAATCCGTCAATATAGATAAAGATAGTGTCCTTGGAACAGTTTATTCAAACTTTCCCATATCCAAAAATTTCTTCCCAGTTAGATCTGTTTCTCATGAAAGCAAAGCAATGGGTGAGGGCTCAAATTCACTCACAGAGAAATTACCATTATTCCTTCTGATGAAAAATATTCAACTTACACGAAGATAATTTCCCCGATGGAAGGAAATTCTCTGTTGGAATTTAATATAGCCAATCTCAGGGCAGCAAATACTGAATTCCAAGCTCCAGAAAACACAAATGTTACTCATGAATCTATTTCTGAAATAGAAAACGAATTATCCAGGTTTCAAGAATTTTCTATTGCACCACAAACTAAAGAGCAGGTTGAAGAAAATACTTTTTTTTACAGAAGATATTCCTCACTCACAGCTAAAAACTACTACTCCAAAGGATATTCCTACAAACAAGTTGTTATTTAAAATAGAGCGTAATCACTAAAGCAAACACTTGCAGCAAGTAAAAGATACCTGTTAGCAAAAATAGTTTTTGCTACAGTTGCCAAAATAGGGAAGATATATGTGTTCTGAAAGACTTCAATAGATATAAATTTAAAATTTTTCTGAGAAAAGATAGAATATTTCCATTTTTGTGACAGACACTCTAACAACGAAAGAAGATAAATATTCAGATAAAATAAAGCTTGTCTATGGAATCTGATTCTCTGTCCTTAAGTGAGATCATAATCTTTGGTGACAATGATGTGTTGGTCAAAGAATATGCCATATTTCCTGAAGCACATGACTCCATTTTCATCTTTACAACTGCTAAAGTTCCTGAACTCCCACCAGGATTTTCACCATATGCTTTCTGCTCCTTGATGGATGACATACACTCAATCTGAAAGTGTCCTTCCTAAGACCATTGGTGTAAGAAACACAGAATGTGGTAATTACCTCTAGAAGAGAAATAATGATAGCCATACTAGTGGAAGCAAAGTATTACCACAAAAGTAGTACCTGAAACTAAGGACTATTTGACAAATCAGTGTCAATTAAGGTAACAATCATTTCACCCAACATCCCTAAGCAAAGAATAAATGTTCATAAATGTCAGTATTTTGCTTCTTATTCCAACTCTATTCAACATAACAAATATGAGATCTTGAGAGATGATTTGCAGCAGTTATACAGAAAACCTCTCCATCTGTTTTTCCTTTTTGTACACAAAGATGTTTCCCCCAAAAGGACACCAAATATTCTGTCTACATCATGCTTATTCTGAATCATGCTTTACAAACTCTAGATAATGAAAAATAAATGGAAGTTCAAAAAAGTCCTCTTGCTAAATTAGCCAACACAGAATGACATTACCTTGTGACTTCTTTGATTGCCCTGGAACTGACAATGTTTCTATTTAAAAACAACAAAGAACCTGTGCTTATTACTAACAAGACTTCCTCTGTGTCCCTTATACTGACAGCATTTTCTATATCAATAAAGACATTGAAAACTTTAACAATGACATCTCTTAGAGCAGAAACATTTCTAGAGAAGCTCTTATATCATTAAAAGGAAAAATGTCCACATTAAAATATATTCTGGTATTTCTACAGAGAGCAATGATACATCTATACCAGACCAATCAACTAACAGAAGCTGTAAACTTTGAGATTAACTCTGTATCTAACAAAGAATAAGCATTTGTCAAGGTGGAAACCACTACTTTTGCTAATACTGCTGACCTCTCTCAACTATGGTTGTGTTTGAGTCTGAAAAGTTCATTTTTTCTAACAACACTGAAAAAAGATAGGTTCTAAAGCATTAACACCTTTAAAGAAAGTGATCCTTAAGATTGAAGATACGATGATGATATCTGACATAATTATCTAACATAATTATCAAATATACTCCTTCTGATATTCAGACTGTAATACTTATAGTTAATACAATCGTTCCATATTTCTACCAGGTTTCTGAGTGAATCTTGACACATTACACTAATTCTCTCCTAGAAATGTCTTTTTTGGGTTAAAATAATGCTCTTTACAGAAAAAAATTCTTAAAAAAACTAAACCTATGTAACTTGACACACCGTTATTCAAGTTAATTCAAGAAAAAGTAGGAATTACAATGAAGGGGAAAACAGAAAAGACCCTAGCAAACCAGTAACTTATTTTTTATTATTCTTGCTGAAAATGTGAGACTTATTTCTGTGAAGAAGAGAACTAACCAGTCTCTGCTACTTAACTATACTATCTGCAGTGATGCTATCAAAAAAGGCATTAATATTTTTAGATATTTAAATACCATTAATCTCAGGGGAGATGGTGTCACCTCAAAAAAAGACTGTTACTTACTTAGAAGATAGACAACTTTAAGCTGATTTTGATAATCTGGTGGCTTCCAGAGTTTCCAAAACTGACACAAAACCCACAAAGTATCTCGCAAATCCCACTATGTCTGTTTCAAGTGACTAGCTCCATATAGAAGGCACATCCCTGGTAAACAGAAATATGACAAATCCTAAGTTCCTTGCAACTAAAATGTCTGAATATAAGTTTTTATTTCATAATTAGAGAGGATTCCATTGTCTTTCACCTAATAGCAATACTATTGCAACTAGATGCCCAATCATAGCAAAGAAACAATCTCCAAGGAGAGCCAGTGCCATTGTTCCAGTGATTGATGCAACAATCACTTTGATGACCAAAGCTTCAGTCCTATAATGAACATCACTCTCCTGCCTAGGGATGCCACTGAGCCAAGAAGAAAGACCTGTGAGAGTACACAGTGCCACTTCACCCCATGGCTGAAGATGGTTTGCCTAAAATTTACACTCATCCTCCAACAGAAAACAGTAAAACACCAACTGAAGCAACCATTTTCTTTGGGGCTGACAATACTATTCCTAGAACAGAAACAACTATTACTTCAGAAGGAGACCATATTACTTCAGTAAATGACTACATGCCAGAAAGTGATTTTTCAACAACTACAGGTAACAAACTTACACCTACAAAGGAAAAGCTCAAATCAGAAGATGATGTTGAGACCCATATTATTCAGCCAACAACTCATCTGGAGAAAGAAATTACCACTCTGACAGGCACTACAAACACCGTAGCTAATGAGTCTGTGACTGAAAATTTCATTCCAATGAAGATGGGGAATATTTCGACACCACTTGCTACAGTTTCTTTAATAGATTTACCCACTAAAGAGGCAAAAGATGATATCTTCTTGGCTACCATTGACACCAGGGATGAAGATATCTCAATAACATCTGAAGTCTCAGGCACACTCAAGGACAGCACCATCATTGACATCAGCGATATAGAGATCTCAGTAACTTCTGAAGCCTCAGGCACACTCAAAGACAGCACCACCAATGACACCAGGGATGAAGAGATCTCAATAACTTCTAAAGTCTCTGGCACACTCAAAGACAGCACCACCAATGACACCAGGGATGAAGAGATCTCAATTACTTCTGAAGCCTCGGGCACACTCAAAGACAGCACCACCATTGACACCAGGGATGAAGAGATATCAATAACTTCTGAAATCTCAGGCACACTCAAGGACAGCACCGCCACTGACAGCAAGGATGAAGAGATCTCAATAACTTCTGAAGTCACTGGCACACTCAAGGACAGCACTGCCGGTGTTGCAGAAATCCCTGGTTCTCCAGCTGAAAAGGTTGAAACTGATGCTAATTATTTTAATTCCTTAGTCAAATCCAATGTTCCTGATGTGTCTGTCCACGCCACTGACTCCTTTATTCCCAAGACTGAAATCTCTCCCTCTACTGATAAAAACTTCACCACTATTCCAGATATTACTGCACTGACAGAAGAGAAAATAACTGAAATTGACCTAACTGTTTCAGAGGATGACCCCAACGCTGTAGCTAAAAGTACTGACTCAGATGAGGAAAAATTCATCACTGTGTTTGAACTCACTACCTCTGCTGAAAAAGAAAAAGATAACCCAGAAGACACTTCACTAACTGATGAAGAGTCTACCAATGAGGTTAATGTTTGGATGGACAGAGAGATTGCAAATGAAGCAGAAACTCATTCCGTTTTGCTTACTGCCGTTGAATCCAGATATGACTTTGTTGTTCCGGCATCAACAACTATAAACTTTGTGGAAGAATCATCTACTAAGACAACAGAAGATCTATCTGAAGATAATAGAACAGAATATGAAATACGGGTCACTGAGCCATTTTCTGAAACTACCCCTGTATTAGAGACCCCAAACCACAAGGAAGACACCTCTGTTACTGAAACGGGTATCTTTAAACTACTAAAAGAAGATCCAGATGAGTTCATGATGTGAAAGCAGCAAAAGGGGTACTATGTAGAAATCATGCAATAGCAAGACAGCTAGTCTTAAAAATCTAAGTTTTTTCCAGCAAGTAAGCACTTGAAAACTGAAAGAAAGTGGGAACTTAAGGCAAGTATTAGACTTAGAAAATGCAGATTCTCAGGAATAGAGGTCATGAAGTAGAATATGTTTATGGAAACTTAAAGTTGTACAAAAAAAAAAAAAGAAAGCTGTACAAAAGTTTTTCTGGTATCACAAAGTTTGGGCAATCTAATGATTACTTATCTTAGTGTGAAATTGTCCATCCTAGCCTTCAGGAGTATAAAGTGAAAGCAATGAAGAAGCTCACTTCCAGCTGCATTTAAAGATATATTCAATTTATAGTTAAGGCTAGTAAAGAGAAATTAATATATGTTTAAAGTACTGTAGTATTAAAAGAGTTTCTGAAATTACATTAAACAATTTTCATTAGTATCATACCAATGCTTCTTTTCTATTAAAAAAAATACATTTGCAACCCTTACTCATATAAGAACTAAGCCTATTTAGTAATTGTCTAGCACCCATATAAAAGATATATATGAAATGTTATAGATACTTGGCTCATGATAGATATAAACAGAAGCAAAATCATATTTTATCAATATGTACATTTGTTAGAAAAATATTGTGTATTAATATATTAATCAATGAAAATATTGTGTATGAATATATTAATCAACTTAATCTTCTTTCTGTTAAAATTTTTCCTAAATTTTTGTTAATTTTTTTCAGGTCTTAAACACTGAATATCGCACTCTTATGCTCTTGGTTAGCTATTCAAGGATATATGTCTTCATTCTTTTCTGACACAGACTTTTTAAATGGGTCTGTTTTCACAGTGCCAATTTTTCTTCAATAAATCTTTCTGACAGCAACTGCCTTACTGTGTATTATAGTGTTTGATATTCTAGATTAGAATTCTCAAATTATTAGTGATAAAAAGTAAAAACGCATTTAAAAAAAAAATAACTTAATCTTGGGACCAGCAGTTAGCGTAATGGCTATGTTGTTGGACTCCCATGTATTTGACCACAATTCGAATCCCAGATCCGGTGCCTTAAACTCACACCGGGTGCATGTGCATGCATGTTCAAGATCCCGAGAGGAGAATGGAGGAGAAGGGATTGTGGTGTGACCATCCCCACTGGGGGGTGATTTCTTGCTCTCTGTCTCTTTCTGTCTTTCTGGCAAGTGCACATTCTCTATAGCAAAAACCACTAAAAATAAATAAATAAATACCATATTGGTTTTGATGGTTAATCTTGCTCAAACAACCAAGTATTTGAAAAAAAATTAAACTAAAATGTTATTTAAGATTATATTGTGGGAACCAGCAGTTAGCGTAATGGCTATGTCGCTGGACTCCCACGTAGTCGACCACGGTTTGCATCCCAGACCCAGTGGCTTAAAACTCACGCTGGGCGCTTGTACGTGCGTGCCCAAGATCCCGAGAGGAGGATGGAGGAGAAGGGATTGTGGCATGACTATGCCTCATGGGGGGTGATTTCTCGTTTTCTGTCTCTATGTCTCTCTGTCTGTCTGGCGAGCGCACACGCCCTATAGCGAAAAACCTCTCCAAAAAAAAAAGATTATATTGTAAAATAATTGTACATGGATTAAAGACTTTAATGTCAAAAACAAAACCTTAGAAGGAAAATATTATGTCTATCCAAACTGGACTGAGAAAACTATCTAATCGTTTAATTAAAGGCAAAAAGGTTGATATAGTTATACCATGAATAGTTAAAATTCTACATGAAAGAAAATTAACATAAAATTAAAAACCAAATAAGTGTGGAAAAGAATTATATATGGCAATGAAAAGATTAGTGTCCTTATACTATAAAGAATTCCTCCAGAGAAATCATTTTTAAATGGATAGTAAAAATTAATCAGAAAATTCTGGACCACAGATTGCCAATAAATATATGAAAATATTCAATGGCTCTATTAAGAGAAAAAAAGCTATTCTACCATTTTTAACCATTTCACAATTGACAACGATCACTTTAAATATTCACTGTTGACTAAAATCTTTATCCAAATTTCTCCACTCTCTGAAAGGCTGAAAGGCTATTTGGCAATGTATGCAGCAAGCATTCAGTTTATTTAAATTTTGGCCTACTTTACTTCTTAATCAGGGGTCACAAAAGAGCTACAGTTATTGAGCTCTAACTACTGGTCAGGACTTGCTGTGCTATGTTTAGGATAACACTATACTGTATTGTCTCTCAGAATTAAATACAAGGATGTCAACAAAGACTTACATCCAAGTATGTGGTTTTATAGGTTCATAAGGAAGAAACACTGAAAATAATAAAAAATTCTAGTAACATGGAATTGATTACATTTCTATATATCCATATGAAATCATAGTATGCATCTTTTAAAATAATTGTGTAGAAGAACAATTCATCAAATGGGAGAAATACATTTTCTAAATAAAACTTACATTGTGGCAATTCCTAAACAAAGCTTATATAGTGGTACATATGCAACATAGACATAGAATGAGAGAGAATTCCTAGACAATAAATATCACGATATATTAACAGTGATTATTCTTAAGGAAGTACTGCAGGTGATTTCATCTCATTTTCTGCGCCTTCATGAATTTTTAAAATGTTGTGTTATCATCCAGAATACAAAGGGGAAAATGAATGTTTGTCAACTCCATCAGCCCAAAAATCTGGGAACCAATCTATACTTTTGACTCTTCCTTACCTCCTACACCCAACAAAAACATTAGAAGTATTTTTGAGTGTCTCTAATATATCAAAAGCTGAGTATTTTTTAATTCAAGAAACACTGTGCACCTCCTAAGCTCCAAACACCATAAAAATTTCCTGGGACACTACAGTGAATCAAATGACATACTCCTTGCTTTCATGGAAAATAATATTAGGTTGTTGGGAAAGTCATGATATATTTTTGTTTTTCTATGCAAAAATGTGTCATGACTCTTGTAATGACCCAATAAACCAAGAAAGAAAAACATTAAGCAAATAATCACACAGGAAGAAATGTTAAACTACAAACTGTCATGGCTGTTACAAAAAACTTAAATAGAGATTTAAGCAAGATTTAAAAATGTGGAGGTTGAGGAAACAGTGTACCCAAATCCCTAATGCTAAAAGTGAGTAGTTTTTCAAGGAAATGAATCCTTATACCTTCCAATGGAAAAGTTATTCAAGATCAAGATGAAAAGGTAGGCAAGAAGATAAACCATGTGGTATGTGTTACACATTCTAGGGTTTATTCATTTAAAAGCTATTAAATGGTTTAATCATTTTATCCTGAAAACAATTTTAGTGCTGGCAAGCTGAAAAGCACGATTATTTTGTACACTGCAATCATACTACCCTTTCAGAGACTTTGTTTAAAAAATTAGCTTTGGGGAACCAGCAGTTAGCGTAATGGCTATGTCGCTGGACTCCCACATAGTCGACTGCTGTTCGCATCCCGGACCCGGTGGCTTAAAACTCATGCCAGGCGCGTGTGCGTACGTGCCCAAGATCCAAGAGGAGAATGGAGGAGAAGGGATTGCAGTGTTACCGTCCCCCCTAGGGGGTGATTTCTCGCTTTCTGTCTCTATGTCTGTCTCTGTCTGTCTGACGAGCGCCTGCGCCCTATAGCGAAAACCTCTCAAAAAAAAAAAAAAATTAGCTTTGTAGTTTCCTTTGGGGTAGAGAGGACAAAGAACATCCAAATCATAAACTGAACCGGAGCAGTTAAACTATTAAAAAGATATTGTGCTTAGGGGCCAGCAAGTGTTGTGGTGGTTAAGATGCTAGACTCCCACATGGCCAACAGTGGTTTGAGTCTGCCCAGATCTGGAGGCTTGCTTTCTCTCTCCCCACCCTCTTCTGGTGAGTACATGCACCCTATAGAAAATTAAACATTAAAAATAATAAAATGAAATAAATAATTATCTTAAAAAGAAAAAAAAAATACTCTGCTCTAGAGCAAAATATGACAGAGACAGGACAGATAAGCAAAGACAGGCAGGAGAACAGACCCTATGGGCAACTGATTATAGTCCAGGAAGAAAATTGGGCAGTGGTAGGTGAGCATCAGATTTTAAAAGAAAGGATGCCTAATAATTTTATATTGTCTAACTTTGTCTTGCTTTGAAATTTGACTGCATGTCTGTGAGATGCATGGTTCTAAATATGTAATCCTTGGAGAAATAATTAGGTGAACAACAACAAAAAAAAAAACAGCTAAGATGTGAAATAAAGGATATGAGACAGTCTTTAGTCCTAAAAATTCTAAGTAGTTAAGAGAGAGGAGTGATGGGCATCTTAATGGATGGACATGTAGAGCAGTCAGGTTTTACTGATGACCAAAGTAAAAACAGGAAGGTCACTGGCCCACAGCTATATTAAGTTAGGGTTCCTAGATCTTCAGGATCCCAAAATCTCAAGTTCAGAGTCACATTGCTATGTGTTAACTGTTGAATAATGAATCATTCTACTTCCTTATTATAAACCTGCTTTTAGCGTTCTGGTTGCCATTCCCTTGTTTAAACCTAACCACTGTCTTATAACTGGTCATCACATCTGTAGCCTTGCGTCATATCGATTACACTCTCAGCACACATCTCTTTTCTAAAGTTTTTGATTCACTCTGATCCTGCTATGACCCCTATGTCTTGCCACAGTTGTTTAGAAATAAACACATAATCCCAATAGAGCAAAAAGGATAAAAGTAGGTGGGCTTAGGGTGGGGAGAAAGGAAAGTTTTTGAGAAATAAGCTTCTGGAAAAAAACTTCAGTCTGAAAACATTTAGTGCCAAGAGTGCTAGAGTCATCTTGGAATCATAAGGAGCCAGGTTGCTTAAGAATAAAGCCAACATTGAGGAAATTAGAGTAAAACAAATGTAATTATAAAATATTAAGGAATGTGAATTATAGCCACATTATGTAGCAAGCCTTATCTAGTCTGACACTTTTACCTGAGACAATATATTTCCCATTATACAATAGATAAACAAGTTTAGGTTGAGTATTCTGTTGTTTGAAATCAAAATGTCCTAATAACTAAGAACCCAAACAACTTCAAGTCCCTTTGCCTTTCATTA